GCGTGTCTCTTATGAACGAGTCCTGCAGGTTCAGAGGGTTTCCACAGAGCTGCCCAGATGGACACTTCATGTCCTTACTGACGACATGATAACATGTACGTTCGGCTGTTGCGTAAAGTGTTTGTGTCGCTGTGTCACTGAGACTGGCAAAGAATCATATACTTTTGAGAGGACAGGCCGGTCAACTATCACGGCTGGAAGAAACAACAAAACAAACAATGATGTGTTCAGATGGCTTTTACAGCCCTGACTTAAACAAAAGTCATTGTTACTGGAAGAAAAAAGGTCATTTCTGAGATGACCTTGGGTGACAAGTGGCCTGCTTTAAACAGTATACTTAAAAGTTTAAAATTCTGAGTAAAGTTTGGCCTTAATTCAATTTCTCCAACTAAAGTACTGACACAAAGCAGAAATGTGAAAACTTGTGAACTTGGCTAAAAATCAGTCCTTGCATGATCAACAATCTCAAAAACAAACTACGACCTCCAGGGACACTGCAGCTTACTCAGCACTGAGGTGGCAAAAAAAAGGGGGAAAATCATCAATATGAAGTATCAAATTAAAACACATGCTCATGTTCAATTTATTAAACAGGATTGGAAAATGACCATTGACATTTTTTGATTCTAAAAAAATTCGCCCAAGGACTCGTCTTTACCTCTCTAAACAGGACTAAAGGTTAGCAATTAAAAGTGTTAGTCTGAGATGATATCCAAGGAAAGAATCTCCATGGCAACAGTATGAGTGAATCACAGAGCATGTAAGGGCTGTGAAATAAATTTCACACCTCAGTGCACCGCGGCCTCTGCTGTGAGATTTCTGTTTGGGTGTGTATGTGTTAGCAACAAAAATGAAGCTGTGTTTGTTGTTGCACCTATTGTTCCCTGATTCTATATATAGTTCATGTGTCTTCATATGTTGTTTTTGTTTCAGAGCTGAGCTTTTGCTGCACTCAATCTGCGCAGGGTTTTAGTTGCTATAATGTATTATCTTAACATCATAAAACATGTATTTGCACACTTTTTTAGAAAGCTGGTGAGGATTTTAGATGAAAGTGTGCTCCTCTTTTTCCCCCCCATCTTTCTCCCTCGCTTCTGCTGCCTCCCATCGGTCTCACACTGGCGCCTGCTCATTAGCTTTCTGTCAGTCTCGGTTTCCTCCTCCTCCTCCTCCTCCTCTCTTTTCCCCTCTTTTCCTCTCACTCCTGTGTTCCAGTACAGTTTATCCTCTTTCCTTCAAAACCTCCTTCCTTGTGTGTGAATCTCCTTTTTGTAACTCAGGCAATTTTCTTGTCACTTATTGTCCTTCAGCTCGTTCTCGTTTTTCTTTTCTCCTCTCCCTGTCTCTCCCGAGAATGTTTTATTTTGCAAGAAATTAAACCGGGCTATGAACCCAACTCCTACATTCCATTAAAACACTCACATACAAACACACACATTTGCTGGAATCGTGACTGCTGTACCCGTGTAAGCCACAGGGCAAGAGCAAAAATACATCAGCGAGGAATATTGACTTCTCCTTGATCACACACACACACACACACTCGCACACATAAAGATGCAGCAGAAAGACAACATGAACACAATCACACATTAGCACCTCCACACAGCCCGAGCTCAGAGCAGGTGAGAGGAACAAAAGTGGAGATGAGGAGAAAAAGCAAAGTGAGAGGCAGAAGTGAGAAGAAGAGAGGGTGCGAAGGGAAGCAGGTGATGACGCGTCTAATGGCTCTCAAGCTTCTTTGTGAGTTCAGTTTCGCTTCCTTTGAAGGGAAGTCGAATCCTCCATCTGTCCCCCACACACACTCACTGATCCCTCTTTAAGACTTCCTTCTGCCCGAGGAAAACACCCAGGGCATCGTCTGCCTTTTCTACGTGTGTGTGTGTGTGTGTGTGTGTGTGTGTGTGTGTGTGTGTGTATGTGTGTGTGTTTCTATTGTCAGACACTGTCCCTGAAAACTTGGCCCACATACAGCACAGTATAATCATTTGTTTACCTCTCGAGTCGAGCTAGACACTGGTTAAGCTGGTAGCATTACAAACGAGTTAATTTGTGGGGATCAAAAGTCATCGAAGTACGTCAGCCTGAGAAGATTTAGACAGGAATCATGCTCTCTCATGAACGAGCTTTGTTTTCACTAAGTGAATTTTCTAATTTTAAAAATTCCTAATTTTAGTTCTGAAAGAGGTTAAAAGGAGATCGCAAACAGAAAAGAAAGAAGGACCAGGCTTGGTTGCATTAAGTGCAACAACTTAAATGAATACAATTACAAAATTTAAATAATTACAACACCTTGAATGACTTTCTGGACCCACAAAACATTTGCAAAGTGGATTTTTGAATATATTCAATCTTACATTGTTTCCACTATATGTGCTCACAAACATCTATTCTGCCTTACATCCACCAAACATGCAGTTTGTCAAAATTACAACATGTTATATCTTTCCTGTTTGAACATTAACGTTTGAATTACCAATTAGAACTGAAATTCTTAGTCCAATGACATCTGCATTTGAATCATTATAGACCAAGACCTAAAAAAAAAAAAAGAACCATACAGTATGTGTGCTACTTCAAGCCTTTTCTGATTTAATGACACACTTACATTACAGTCGGTGATGTGGTGGGTTCCAGGGTTATGTATGTGATGCAGTTTGCAGTTAAGGCGTGTTTGTAAGTACAGACAATCTGACTGCATCGATGTGGATTGAAGAAAGAAACTCAGGCCTTCTACTAACTGCAACTTTTTTGTAGGAATATTAAACTTAAAGCCGCCTAATTTGAACATTTCTGTGTCATTTTAAAACACTTTGTAAAAAGGCCTTTATTTGTTCACTTTAAATTTGCATTAACCTTAATCGCACTTAGTCATCTCCACCTGCTTCAGCCATCATGAATCACTCAATCTGACCTTTCCTGCTGATGCTTTACCATGATTACATATTCAGTGTGTAATAAGTCTAAACTATACCTGTAATTACAAAGCAAACTTTGAATATCATCTCATTTACCAGCTCTCGAAATGTGACCGTAAGTACTTCATGAGTAATTCTTTCCCATTCAGAGTACGTAGTTGATAGCAGCGTTCGCTTGCTTCGTGAGTCAAGGTCAACCATGGCTAATGGCCAAAACACTGTCATTGTCACATTGACACAGTGGTGGTTAGAGCCGCAGCCAGCAAGCTGAAGGGCACTCAGCGTCATCTAAATCAACTGATGGGCTGTGGAGATGGAGTGGAAATGTAAAGTGCCACCATTCCTGATTTCACTGTCAGAGAGAAGTCAATTACAGATAAACTGTGGCAGAGCATTTAAATCATTGCACAGCCGGCGTGTAAAGACTGTTATGGATTGAATGCTGACAGGAGAGGAAGGATCAGTAGTATTGGATCTACAGAATATATAAAGGGTGTTTATTATGTGTACTACAGAAAATAATGAATGATAGTCTTTTATAGGAAAAACATTTCTCTGGCTGAAGTATCGCGGTGATGAGGGCTGTGAAAGTTCCACAAGATTACTTGTTAAAACACAAACCTATTGCATTTAACCAAAGATCGTTAGAAACACTCTGATATAATGTATTGTACAGTATGTCTTTGAGGACATCATAACAAATCCTTTAAAGGGCTCGCAACACATTGGAGGCAGTGCTGCAGCAAATAAAAACTGACACAGGAAGATAAATTAAACTGGGTGAGCAGACCTGCAGGTTTTTTTGAGGGGAATGCATCTTGTTATGTAGGGTATTATAGGTATTCTACAGTATTAGTTCAAATGTTTTGTTGGTTTTTAAATGTTTCATTAATTAATTAATAACAATAATTGTATCTTGTTGCAGAAGACATTGATAACCAAGGTTAATACTCACATGGCAGAATATAACATATATAATAAATATAAATACCATTGTTACAATACCACTGTTTCATTCATCTGGTTAGTTTATTTCTATTTTTTCAACCTTTATTTAAGTTCTCGGAGAGATCATTGAGGGCGACCCTCATTTATAATGATGCCGAGAATTATTAGACTCTACTGCAGCTCCATGTCGTGTCTGTCAGTCTGTCTCTTTGGCTTTACATGAATAGCTGCAGGAGCTTTATTCAACATTCTCTGATACTTCAGAATGTACACTTGAAACGGAAAAAAAAAAAACTGCTTTTATTAACTTCCAACCTACTGTACCATGGGTAGTTTTTTTTGTACCTACTATTGCTGAGCTGAAGTATATGTGAGGCTATGATGATAGGGTTAGAATCTAAGGCTATTATCAAACCCAAGCACAGGAAACTTTTTTAAAAACACTTGATTGATGAATTTGATTAACAAGTGGCTGACGAACCTGTTTGGGTGAAAATGGTTTCAAATCTGCTTCCCAGCGTATGTTACATGTATGTTGTTGGTCTCTCAAGCTTTCTAACATGGGGCTGTTTGACTGACAGAATCGCGTTGTTTTCATTTTATATACCCATTTCTGTCTTGTTCCTCGTCTTTTTCAAATTGCTCTTATGCTCCAGTAAAGGGTCCATCAGTATTTACAAATTAAATCCGTTCATACTCATCCACTAGCTGCTGACGCAGTAACAGGAGCAATTTGGGGTTAAGTGTCTTTCCCTAGGACACATCGACATATGGCTGCCGGAGCTGGGGATCAAACCCCGGACCCCCGACGTGAATTCTCAACCACAAAATGTTCACTGACAAGATATCTTCACTGACGTCTGCCATGATTGTACGCGTCTATTGACTAACGACACAAGAGAAGTTATGGTGTCTAACAAGAGAAGCAAAAAGAGATAGCACCATCTGCTGGCTACAAAGTATTGAGATATAATTTTGTCTCATAAATTTGAGTTGGTCTTTATTTGTATCAATTTTTCCGTTGTATCTAGTATAAGGCTTTAAAAACAACACGTTTATGACCATGAATGTTTTGTGTTCTTTTGTTTCTAATAAAACGCTGGATTACTAGAAATCAAAGATTTTTAACAATACCTCTGTCAGTGCTTTGTCAATGAAACAGGCCGTCTCTGGGGAGACCCCCCAAGGTGACTTCTCTCCCACCATGATGGCGTCCAGCGTGGCCTTCTCCAGGACAACATCAAAGGACGCGTCAGGGAAGGAGAGTTGGCGCACATCCATCTGATGCCAGCTCATACCTGGACAGTCACTGTGCCGGGCACTCATCGTACTGATGCACACTGACGAGTAGTCGATGTTTGTGATGGAATGGAAGCCGGTGCTGTACATGTCGCTGCTCATGCTGCTGTTTCCACAACCTGAGGGGGAAGATGGGAGAGAGGCGGAAGCTTAGGCATTAACATAAGGAGAGGAAAGAAGGCAGCAAAATCAGGAGGTAAAGGATGAGGAAATAGGAGAGGAAAATCAGAGAGGAGGAGACAGAAACTAATATGTCTCTGGCCACTCAAATCCTCAATATAGTTTTCAGAATGAGTAAACAAAGGTGTGATCAATAAAGCAACAACATACAATGACAACAAGGATTACTATGACAGGGACCACCTCTCCTGTGATTGATGAAACAGAGACACAAACACACACACAAACAAACAAACAAAACGATCTATTTGATCAAGCTGCTGTTCAATCACAAGCAGAATTGGAAACCTCCCACCACAGGAGGTACAAATGTATTCAGGGGGCGGGGGGGATCGGTGGGGAGGGGCGATGATTCCGATTTGACCTCAGAAGGCACACTCTGCAATAAACAACAATGATGTTTTAACTTGTCTGCAGGTGACGGATGGATGAAAGCTGAGGAGGGAAATACAAGAGAAGTGAAGATCCCCTCTCGTGCTGTAAGAGGAGATGAAAATAATCTACAGAAAGCAGCATCTCACCTTTAGGATCAGATGACTCATAGATCGTGCTCATGGAGGAGGAGTGGGTGGAGAAGATAGGCAAAAGATAACAAAAAGGGGAAGGCAGCAGTGGGAGTCATATACACTTTCTTGATGCACATGTTCCGTTTCAGGAAGGTGAAGTTCAAGTGTTAGGATCTAAAAGCTGTCTTTTTCATCTTGTTCCCCACTAAAATCTCTGCGTGTAATCTCAGGTGATGTTGGCACAGACACCTTTGTTTCAAACGTGTGGATGGCGCTTGTTATCACCTTACTGCTTCATCTAATTACCAACCTCCAAAAGTGTGTGTGTGTGTGTGCGCGCGAACATGCAACAATGAAATATCAAGCCTAGGCAGAGTTGGTAATTTTCCAAAACTATAAAGGATTTTGAAAGTAGCATTCCCTCAGTGCTCCGTCTACACCCACCCTCTCCCCTCTGTGCTCCCTCAAAAGCCACGCCCCTCACTTACATGCATGAGCGCCGTTGCTCCAGAAGCAGACCTCACCTCATCGCTTACGTGTAGAAACTACGTCGTCTCATGTCTCATTCAGCAGTAAATAAACACTAAACTTTATCATAATACCTGTAAAAAAAATTTTTTTTTTTTAAAAGTGACTATTTTAATATTCAAAACAGCCAACAACAAACTCACAGTATAAACTCTGTAACTGGTGACGTGCTGTGAGTGTGGGCTAGTGCATGCAAGAGGTAGAGAACGAGCAGGGAGACAGGGACATGATTGGTTCATCAGATTGGCACCTCGTGGTAGACATTGGTCGAAATTGTTACACGTTTACTACAGCTACAGATGGCGGATTTTCTTTGTTCCTTTTTCAGAGCACACGAGTTATTAATTTCTGTCAGGACCTAAAGACAATCTCAACCAAAATCTTAAAAAGTGGATCTGGAGAAAATGACCAACCCTGCCTTTAAGTTCCATCATTGGGTTTAACAATGATGGAACTCAATAATTTCCAGTGTTCCTGAGACATCATAAAGTATCTACGTTTATAAAACAGAGAGTTCACTATCAGATTGTCAGTTAAAACAAATAATGAATAAACTATTCAATAATAGAAATCCTCTGCATGGTTTTTAGCAGACTGTAGGTTGTTCCTCCTGTGCAGGTGTTTGTGATTTGGTAATACACAGAGATTAAACACTGTTACTGTGTGTATTTTATTAGAAGTAATGAAGTGCACATGTGTGAAGAGTCCAAAGTTTTCCTGTCCCAAGCTACACTTGTGGTACTGTGATTATAACATAGAGCAGAGGTTCTCAACTGGTGGGTTGCAGAGCTGTTTTCATTGGGTCGTGAACATGTGACTGGAAAAAAAAAAGGGCAAAAAATGTGTATTTGTAGTGCTCTTAAAACATGTTGGTTTTGTTCACATGTTTCGTACCATCTGGGGTCCAAACTGCACTATTTTTCATTTAATAAATCTGATTGGTTGAAAAAAATAGAACTTTGGTTCCCAATTTTCATGAAGGAGTTGGTGGTGGGTCCTTAGGCTAGACCAGTTCAGAACAACTGACATAGAGGATAATCAGTGTTCAGCACTGTTTTATCAGTCATCATAGAAAAGGGGACAATCATTTCCAGATAATAATTTCCATCCAGATTCTCAGTTTCAGCTGAAAGCAAGGCTCTACAGCCTTGTTTCATACCTAAATTTGGCCCTCTTCACAGTGGGCTGAATTGCTCCTGCACTCCCCTCTATATTCCCCCAGGATGCCGCACATTGTTTCCAGAGGGTTCCCCCCGCTGACACAGTTATAAATGTGTGTGTGTGTGTGTGTGTGTGTTTTCTTTTTTCCATGCACTCGGCTCGGAGGAAGGGGGTGTCACATGACAGCTCATTCCTTAGGGTTGTCACGACAATTATAGTTGCCAGGCTGTCATCAAGGACACTACTCTCATTTTGGCTTTGTGACATCAGCTGGTGCCCCCTGAAACCTCTGACCTTTATACACCCACACAAAGCCACAGGAAGAGATCTGACAGGATGTGCTGTATTTATGTCAGTCTCTGGGTAAGTGCGTGGAGATCCTGGAGTGCATGTGTCACGCGTGGTTAATTCAGGATACAAGGGTACAGGGCTGGTCTGGAGCATGGATTCCTTATTTGCTCCGACTGGAAGCGAGGGAGATAAAACCTCCTGATATCCAGAGAATGTTCCCTAACTGGATTATCCAGAGTGATAGAGAGGGAGACTAAAGTTAGAGGTGTCGTATCACCTTGCTCTACTGGCTGTGTGCATGTGCATGCAGTGTGCATGCGTGTGATGGAAAATCTGAGTCCTGGGCTAAAAAGTTTCCACTCAACAAATCAACAGGAAAAAACTGTCAAAAATACGTCATCAACTTCTGACATGTGTAAACCGTTTGCTATAGTTGAAGCATTTGTACATTCATCCAGAAAGTTCTGCACAAACAAACAAAAAAAGAAACCTTAGGTAAGTTAAGAGAAGAATGTTGACCATACATGGAGGTGGTTTCTTCATGAAGAGATGTTCATGGAAAGCTCAACAAAGTGGTGACTCTCTGCTGTGGTGACAAACACCAGAGAGCAAACCTCTGAGGTAATGCTGGAAGAGCAGGAAGCTCCTCTGCTGCTCATCAACATTTTGCCTACCAGAACACACCAGGATATTTTCCTTCATGAGAATCTCTGAATATATTTTCTTCACAACACTGAAGCTATAATTTATCAGTGATTAAAAAAAAAAAAAAGATAAACTGACAGGGATATTGAAAATAGCAGTGTTAATTGGAAGAATCTTAGTTTTGAAAAATTATACGAAACAAAATATTTTGGATATTTCACAATAAGTTACAGCGTCAAACATTTTCTTCAGTAGATCTCGATGCTGACTGACAACACAGATGCTAATCTCATTTATTAGCACACAGAATCGTGATGCAGATATTACAGGAGAGACTACACTTTTCAGTGTAAACTCAACTACTACTATAACATATCTAAAGCTTGTACTCTTTGTAAGGAGCTACTCCAGCTTAACCCTGCATGAATGTTAATACTTAGTTTACAAAGTGTCTGAAATGATCCAATCAGATCCTTATTAGGACTTCCCATCCGAACATAAAGTGTCAGCTAAGATTTAAGTTTCATTATTTTGTTGTTGTGCTCCTTGACTGTTACTCAACATGAAATGTTTGAGATGCGACCATTGGGCAGATCAGATGACCTCCCTCCACATAATCAGCGACTCTCAACTCTCCATCTATGGTCGTGAGGTGCTGGTGGGTGGGGAACCCCTAAGATGGAGCCAGCGGTGTGAAATATCAAAGCTGCTATCTCTGAGCTGAGACGAGCACAGCAGTGGAAACTCCATGATGACAGAGGCATGCAGGGTATTTGTTCCCATCCCAAATTGGTTTATACACATGAAGGATGGGGGGCCAGGGCCAGTGCTGATGAATGGTGATGTGCACATGTGCTCCAACAACAACACCGAGACCCCGGCTGTCACCTCAGCCGCCTACTTGCACCCTGCAGGGTTTGGGCTAGCCCGAGGTAAAGTGATGCCTCGTTGACGCTTCACAAAGTTCAGCTGCGAATTCTGTAAATGTCAACGTTTGGAAAAGTGTTTGTTTTTGTGAACACACACATTTATGATTAAGTGCATTTATGTATTCTAGGCGGAGCGTTATGGGTCTAAAAGCGAATCTGACCTTGAAACTTTGAATAATTTACATGAAAATACATTAAATCAGTGTGGATGTGAAGTAGAATCATGGGTGCAGATTTGTGCACAATGTGTGAGAAATTTTGACTGTGAGTGGCCTTGTCAGGTCAGAAGAAGCCTGCACGTGTTTGTGTGTGTGTGTGTCTGTGAGTGTGATAAGAATAATGAGAGTGGACAGTGTCACACTGGGCCTTGTTTTAACCAATTATCTCTTGTTATCTTCCCTCTAAGTTCAGGTCCACTGTTATCTGATTAATTAAGTATTACTGGTTAGATGACAAGCATTTGTTGACATTTGCACGCTATGCACACACACACGTGTCTGATATTTATTTGACCCACATGGATTCTTAAAGCTGGGTCATGCTTGAAATGAAGTACATAAAATGACATGTCATGTGACCAGCAGGCAAATGTAAACAAGGCAGGGTTTATAGAGAGGGCTGAGAAGAAACATTGAACTCTTGAGAAGTGTGTTGTTGTTTCAGCGTATTGTTGTACTCCTCTGTGTACACAAACAGTTACAGAACATGCATCGACTCATTTTTTTTTTTGTGTTAATCTTTACAAAGAGAGCGCCTTTGAACTTAATTTGACTTATGTATCTCTGTGTATCCTCAAACTAACTCAATCTGAATCCAGGATGTGCTCCTGTCCTTCCCTTTACAGGACTGTTTGTTTATTTGTTTCAAGATTACTGTTTC